CATATTGACTTACCTCGCTAGTTCGTCCGTGTCTGGAGTTTGCGTGGTGTGTTTTTACTCGTGTCAAGTAGCCAAAAACCGTAGTCTGACACTTCGTAGTGCATTGTCATGCAGCCTGCTGACACGGTTGGTTCTCTTCCTGCGTGAAATGGGAATTTTAGCCTCATCTATATTTACGTCCAGGCCCTAACCCGAGTATACAACCAACCAACGATACGCACACCTAATGGTCGTTTAGCAGGGACGCTGTATAGGAATCCCATCGACTGTCTCTGGAAAACTTTCAGGGCCGAAGGCGTGTTTGGGTGGTACAAGGGTATGTAGCGGCATGCATACCGTGACAAGTCTGATAAAAAAATAACAATCTAGGTTCAACTGCACAGTTTCTTCGCGTTGCACCTCATACGTTAGTTGTTCTCGGCTTGTAAGATTTGCGCCCTTCTGACCGTCATTCTCAGCATCATTACCCTTACCATGAACGATATCATATTAGGTTTGTACAAGGACATCCGTAATCGTAGACCATGACCTCAACTTGATACCTTTCTTCATACTGAGGGGGCCATATGATAGTGGAGCATGACAAGAAGACCCGTGGTAGAACGCAGAATCTGTGCGTTTCAAACAAACACCGCGATGAACTCCGGTACAGTGCGAGTCGCCGAATTCGGGACAGAAAGCCAATTTACTTCTTTAACGCCTGTTCTTTGAGAGCATCTGACTGCAAGGTGTCCTGGGATCTGACCTATTTCACACCCATTCAGGATGAGCTTTTCTATACAAGAGAAGGTACTGCAAGTCGCACAGTCAGCATTCTGGAATTACTATATGACTGTGGTTCGCCAATCACAGAGAATGGGAGCATGGTGGGAGCAAAAGGGAGGCCCGAGTTCTGTGATGTACTACGAGCTGAGTTGTTTGTGTTAGTTAATTCCACAGCGATTCGGCCCGAGCACTCATGAAGCGGGCTCCTTCGACAGTTTGTGGCACAAGTCTATTCAAGTTGTGGATATGTTTGTACTGCCACAATGTTTGGGTGTGGATTTAAATTGTGGATGTTTGCAGTCCACATTCCGCCACATCGGGTGTCCATAAAAAGCACCCCACTTGTGTTGTATCCTTATCCTATACAAGCTTGTCAATCCCAACGACCAACACTATCTCGATATTCGAGTGCCAAAGATAACACTACGCAGAATGAATGACGCACCCTCCCATCACGTCGCGGACGCATCCACACACCTGACCCTTACTACACGTCTGGGGACAGTTGACATGTACGAAGCTACGCTCCGTAAGCTCACTCGAGCAAAGTTGCAAAGGCTCGCAAAGGTGTGTATCGCACTTTTCTCTGAATGCTACAAGAAATAATTAGGAAATAGACCAATAACATCAAGGCTAATATGAAGAGCGAGACGATCATCCAAGAGCTTCTAAAGCTCTACAAGGTTGTTCAGCTACAGTAGGTCCCCTTCATGCTCGGCGTAATGAACCGTCCTGATCATTTGGCTCAGTCAGGATGAAGGGAATGAAAAGCCCCTGAGGAAGACTGGGAGAACTAGCATGCAAGACCAGCCTCCTTCTGAGCCAACTGGGCGCCCAGCTCCACTGGACGATGATACCAGCGATGCTGATTCCTACTTATCCTATGAGAATCAGCATGGCTCCCCCCTCAGCTCGCGTTCAGGGACCCCCCCGCCCGAAGAACCAGAAATGCTCAACCGGGCGGTGGGTATCATGAACAAGATCACTTCCGACGATCTGCGTATTCTCGTTCAGATTGCCGCTCTACGCGAGAGAGCGAAAATGCTAAGGGAGCAGGCGAAGAGTATGAGGGATGTAGTGCGCGCAGAGCAGGGTCGGCGTAAGAGATTGGAGGCATACTTCACGTATTGGAGGGAGATTTCGCCTACATGGCCAAAGGAGTGGATATATGATGAAGGCGAGGAGTAGATCAGAGAGTACCTGAGAACCATGACACAGTAGCATGTCATATATATGATACGCTAAATTAGCGTCAATTCCACATGATCTCGTCTTACACACGAAGACAACACTTTTTGATTACTGTGAATTTTGGAAACCCAGGAAATCTAGTTTTCGCTTTCAATGACATCAACAGAACTAGACAGCTATAAACTGGCCCTCGTCCTTGCATTCCATGTTGTTATTCAAATAAAACTGGCGCATCTACTACTACCTGCTTACCAAGAATAAAATACGGATCTACTTATCTTTGATTGGAAGACACTATCTGTCTTCCTATCATATCAAATTGATTGATCTCCGGTTCCTCTGCAATGTGCACAGTCATTGGTTCCATGTTCAAGCTCTCCCGTACATCTCGCTCTCGAAAGAGGCTCGTGGTTGCCCCTTGCTTTAGTGGGCTTCTCGGCTAGCAAGTTGCCACCTACGCCGTAGTGTACTTGCAGGATGATGAGGCAAAATGTGATCCCCTGAACAAAATTGCTGTGAATCGCTTGGATCTAGGCTCTGTCAACTCACCACAATAGGAGTGACGATGTCCAGCATGGTATACTGGCCGTTGGATCCGATGAAGAATGTTAGAAGGAGCATAAGGATACTCGTGGAATACAAAGCGCCGCTCTCGATGACGACGACAAAAACGGGTAGAAAAGCGGCAAAGCCCTCTGGCATGAAGCAGCGAGTGCGATAGATGCGCCAAGCATTCAAACCTGCACCGCTATGGTCATCAGCCTGCAGATTCGATAGACGCAATCGACATACTGGTACTGGTAACGCTGAGACCCATAGTCAATGTATCAAATGTGGCGATACACCCATAATCAGCGAGGGGGACATTAGACAGCAGACGGGCCCGGGAAAGGGATCCGACGCCATAGTATCCAGTGGCTGCGAAATATTTGGGGATAAAATGATGATCGAATTGTACCTTTCGAGATACTCACCCACGCTGGCTAAGAGCATGATACAGCAGGGAAAGGCAACCAACAATTTTCTGTCGTTGAGCACATAACATCGCCAAACCTAGTACGGTCGTAGTACTCAGATGGGCAAACGTGCCATGGGGAAAAACTTACAACTATTGCATCGGCGAGAATGGTTTGCGTGACGCAAAGTGCCGTTGATGCAACAAACAATGGCGAAGCGAAGTTGGAATAGTAGTCACTTGCACCAATCGTATCCACCTTGAATACGAATGCCTCTAGAGCTCGAATAAAATCGATGATTAAATGCTGAAAGTGAGCGTGTTGAGCTATTTCAAGAAAATTTCTGACTACACTCAACGACTTACGGCTGTTGCAATACAGAGGAGCAAGGTTGCTACTGGGAGAAGGAGTTGTCGTTGAATGCCGGTCTTCTTGAGTAGGATAAACAACGTGAACCAATATAAAGTGAGGAACACGCCTGTTCGGGATAGTGAAGTTTAGTACCATGCCCTTTCCACCAGTGGCCGGTTACGCACCATACAACAAGGTCTCCAGGAATAAACCTAACAAAGCAGCTGTGTCCATAGGTATGCCCATGATTATGGTCGCGCCACTGGATCAGTTGAGTCAGATTCAAATAGGAGAATTTCTCGGGTTATTTCCGTGCACGGAGGTTCATGGAATGGTCGAGCGTAGGCAACTGATTTGTGAAAGGTAGGAACTCGAGAGCATAAATGTTTCGTCGTGAGAAGCTGTGTTAGGTTCATATGAGGGATTCATGGTTAACTCCCGTGCTGTGATGCATGCAAAAAAAAGAATTCTGATACCAACTAACGCTGAATGAAATTACCGGCCACCCCCTGCCACTATCACATCCCTGAGTGGTTTGGTTGACCCCCGTGCCGTTCGCAACCATCTGATAGCTGTAACAGGCGCTGTTTCAGGTGGCAAACGACCGATCCCATGGGGAAGAAGCTGTGGTCGCATTTGGGCAGTAAGATTGACCGCTTTCACTATTCCATACTTGCCTTAGTGGCGTATATCAATTCACAGCGCCATGGAACCGTTATCAAAAATTGACAATTCTCTTTGAAAGAAAAAATCACCTACTTCTGTTCGGAGAAATTTGGTCCTACATCCTCGGCGAGTGTGACCCAACCGGCCAACTTGCACGTTTGCACTGCTCGGCACAAAGGCTCTGCAGCTGATGTGAACTTGAAGCGCTTACTATTACAGGCTGGTGGCAGGATCAGCACTTTGCTTTTTCTTGATTCAAAGTGGAGTCCTTTGGGGTCATAGACCCTGCGTTGGACATAATCTAATCTCTCATAATAAGCTTTCTTCCGTAGTACTAGTAGGATCAGTACTTACTGAGCGGAATTAAGACGTGCTGCATACAAGGGGTGTTGACACGACCTGACACTGGCACAATTTGAATCCTGTATTGTCAATGATAAGCACAGCGAAAGTAAGACTTGGGTTCACGCAGTAACAGCGTGCTTGTGAATTACTTGCAAGTTGCGCTGTAGTCGGATCAACTTAGGCACAAGATCCGATGACCCTGCTGAAATTCTGTGGATGTGGGACAACAGTATAGGCGCAAGATCAAATGGCACTGCTCAAATTCTGTGGATGGACGTACACTGGCAGAGCCAAAAAACATGATGCCGTTGAATGTGCCAAATTTGGACACATGCGTTTTCACAGCAAAAAGTGAACCCGACCCGGATTGAACGGATGACCTTATGGATACCCAGAACTTAAAGTTCAGCTGGAATCATACGCGCTACCACTGCGCCACGGGTTCATGGAAACACTATCAGCATGTAATCAATAGTATCAGTACCTCAAGCGATACTGAACACCATATTCTTGCAGTCAACCGCAAATCGTATAAGACGCAGTGGTGTTTACCTTCTAGCTAATAGCTTATCATATGCCTATGAATGTAGGTACCTTCGGGTGCTGCTGCTTCGAACTCCATTTATTCGCAGCAATTGCTAAATACCGGAGAAACAAAAAGTAGATCAATAGAACTCAAGTCATTCCTCAATATTCAATCAGCAACGGGATTGGACTGTAAAACGATTCGGATACGGGGAATCGAACCCCGAGCAACCGCGCGCCCTGCGATGAGAGGCGGATATGTTACCTTTACACCATATCCGAGTGACATGGATGTGCGTGATGTGTTACTGTAAAGCTTGCTCAGTGTTAGTAGGCCTTACTATCGACATCGACGTTCGAAAAGGAGGTCCAGCAAAGCTTCTGGCCTCGAGTATATATTATCATTACACCTCAACCTAACATAACACCGAATGAAAAGCCTTACTATAACCATCCGTTCACGGCAACCTTCTCCACCTGGAATTCTTTGTGGTGGCAAGATACACTTCAGATCCAGGACCACGGTCCATCCAAGCAGATACTTGCTTGGGCATCAAATTTGTCACCTGGGGTAATCGTTAGACGAGATTCCTACTCCTCTGAAAAACCCGTCGCTCACGAGGAACTTCTGACCCAATTTAAACTCCCCTGCTTGGGATCCTTCAGCAATGGACAAGTTGAGCACATCCCAGACAGTCAACTGGGCTTTGCGACCACTGTCGCCGCCTCGTGTGGGTTTATATGCATCCTTCATGACGATAACACGGAAATTGCGTACTTCCCGAGCAGGACATTTGTCCTGGGGGAGCGTTCAGTGAAACACAACATCATGTAGATGTGAAACTTACCTGCAATTCTCGCTCGATATCTCCTGCGACAGCTTCGCGATCCCGGAGAAGCTTCTCTCTGATGTGTGCAGCAAGACTGCCTGCTTCAAGGCGGCTGAGGCGTGAAAGTATCGCTTGGGCTTGATGTTGGTCACTCTCCTCCAAGGATTCATACAAATCGTCAAGGTTGTCCGGCATTTCTAACATAGCGCATGAGCAACATACAAACTCGGTTGCGGCCTTCTCACCTTCGTTTTTGACATTGAAGCTTGGACCCACACGTTGTTCAAGCCTGTCTGCAAACCTCATCATCAAAGCCGCTCGTTTTTCAAGATCTGACCAAATCTCGGAGGCAGCGAGTTCGCGTTTCCTCTGATATAGAATGTAAGCGCTAGACTTGGTCCAGAGCTCTTCATCTTACCTTCCATTGTTCACTCAAGGCATTTTCATCCTTGCCACTGCGGGGACCCTCCATCCGCCTCCCGTTTTCGTCTTCGAAGAATTCAATATATGCGACAGGATGAATCTTTACACTAGAGTCAGCTATGTCTGGGTGTTACACACTTATCCTACCTTGATAACTTCAACAGCTGCAACGGCCACGTTTCCACCGTCCGCCGTGAGGCTGTTGAACGTTGCAATGAATGGACTTCGCTGGAAGCCAAGCTTTGCGTGCCAGGGGGCCATATGGGATGAGTTGCCTGTCAGCACCAGGACATTCGAATCATATGCCTCGAGGACTTCTTGTCCATCTTTGCGCTCTGCAGAGAGCTGCACGAAAAGCCAATCAATATCACGATATAGGGTAGTTCCAGTCACTTACCCTGGCTCCGGTAACAGCGATTTTTCTCCCGATCTTGATGTGACCTTTGCGGATGGCTCTCGCAAGCGGCTTGTCGACCCTCGCGCGAAGTCTGTACCATCCGTCTGTCACCTCTAACTCGGGATGCGAATGAATGGGAAACCCGTCGTCAGTCATTCCAGCTGGTGACCAAGTCACATTTGACACGCAGAGCACCATCGGGGATGCAGCAGGCGCATCTCTGGTAGTAATCAGTCGAAGTGGTGGTCGTGTCGACCCATTCAAGTCTCGTTCGTATCTGCGCCAGTGGTTGGTCAGGACGAAATGGATAGGTAGACAGCACAAACCTGTACAGTAGCTGGCGGATCACTTCAGGCCAGCACCACCGTTTGCGATCGGGATCAGACTCTGCTTCTGGTTCGAGTGCGACCATTCCGGCTAGCTTCCAGAGAATAAGCGGCCAATGGTTATTGATCCATTCCTGTGTGGCCAACGAACATCCTCTTGCGTGGAGTTCTTGTAGAGCGGCAGTTGATCCGAGAGGCTTCGCATCAGATGGCTGAACACCTTCGTTCGGCGTAGCAGATGGTGTATAAAACGAGTAAAAGCAAGCGGTAGCTGGTGTTATCTGGGATAGTTCTGTAATATTACTATGTAGAAGCGTGTCAACAATTCGTATTGCAGCTGAACCGACTGACTGACATTCCCTGATCCTCAAGCTCTGCGGTTGTGTAGGCCTGAGGTGTAAGACCAGAACTGGCAAGCGTCATCCTTCCCGGGGGAGGGACTGTAACAAGAGTGATATGTCGACCGGTGGATCACTGCAGTGAAACACTTACCAAGGTTGAATACTTTGCCTGTACCCTTTTCTGGAGTTTTCTTCACTGGCCTGGGAGATTGGGTTGCTGAGGGCGGATACATAGGTCGCTGTAAGCTGGGACTTGGAGCAGCAAACGACGGTGTAACTGATGCTGCATTGTTCAGTTCTGGAGGTTTGACGCCCGGTTTGAATGGCGTCACGAATTTGTTCTTGACCAGACCACCATGTACATTTCGCAGCGTAAGTCCCAGTGGGCGAAATGTGCTCCCAGGATTAACCGATGCTGAGGGACGAACAGGCGTTCCTGGTAGAGTAGAACTAGATGGAATCATATGAGAAGATGCGGACGCAAAGCCCTGACGATGAGGATTGAGGGGAGAGTTGATATATGAAGAACTAGCTGTCCCTGTGATAGGCTGTCGTGATGGTACGGAGGTGATCAAAGGAGATTTGAACGGTTTCTGCTTTCCCTTGAAGTCGCTACCACCAAGCGTTGGAACATCAAGTGTCGATCGTGCTTTAGGTTCAAATGACTTGCGAGGAACCATTGCAGGAGTCGGCGTATCTGGGACTTGAGGAGATAAGGAGTTGTGCACTGCTCCCAGCACGGTGCGCTGAGGCGAGGATGGTCGTGCAGAGGAAGATGGTGCAAACCCTCTAGAATGTTGGGAGGAACTCGAATCATCAACCTCTTCCTGCCACAGCTTGATCTTTTCCTCGGCCTTCCGCAATGCAGCGGTTGAAGGGACAATAAGATTCTTTTTGCCGACTGACGTAAAACCTATAGGTGTGACGTGACTGGCAGTCGCCTCGAGGACATTCTCTTTGGTTTTGTCAAGGCAAGAAACAGCAGATTGAAAGCCTACAAAAGTTGCAGGAGGAGGAGGAGCCGAAGTAAACCACGAAGAGTAATCGACTTCTTGGGGTACCTCTGGTGAAGGTGAACGGTGTGAGCTATCCACATTCTGGATGGACAAAGCGGATGCAGACTTGAAGCCTACTGGAAGAAGGACAGCAGATGCTTTGGTAAAAGATGCATATGCGGCTGGTTTAGTGGCATTCGAATCAGCAAATGGGTCAGCAGCAAAAGGATTGTTGTCGTCTTGAGAAGCTATGTCTTGTGAGGAAAGTAGGTCCTGATCGGACGAAGTGCTACGATCTCCAGCTTCACCAGGGCTGAGCCTGCGGTGCGGGTTTGTTGGTAGGGGTACTTTGTGAAGTGGAGCCTGCTGAGAGAGGCGTGCCTCTATAGCATCGAAAGCGCTTATATCGTCTTGACTCATGTCATCGACTTGTTCATCATAGGTCGGAGAAGACATTCTCATTTTCTTCCTGGGTGGACTAGGAGAAGAATCTGCAAAACCACATGTCAAGCCTGAAAGAAAGATCTCCAAGGTATCTTACCTAGATTATACATTTTTGTTACAGTTACAAGGTCGTTTGAATGTTTGTGTAGAGAAGCGAGAGCCACATCTACGCGACGCGTCTTAAAATGTGATCACGTGTGGCATTACATCAGCCTAAGCGGAATGATATTCCACTGTGGACGGTGAACTCTTTTGATCAACGTTAACAATAGTGGCTGGCATGATCTAACATTATTGTTCAGGTACCAAGCTGTGTTTTTAGAGTCTCCGTAGAATTTTAAACAATCAAATTGATTTCATTGAGATTGGTCTCGTCGGCTCACTAGTACGCCTAAAGTTGAAACGCAAAATATTGATCATCGCCACTCAGCCGTGACTACTAACGCCAGTCTGGTCCATGACTTTCCGTACATTCCGTCTTTGAAAAATTATTGTTAATCAATCAGACCTGGCCAATTAATAAAAAGCCTTCAGCTGACCTCCACGCTTTCAAAACATTGCTTTCCTAAAGTTCTTCATACCTTGCATCCCTCGCCGACCGCGCAGGTCCACCAGCACGACGTCTGGGGATCAAATACCTATGAACGGTACAACTATCATTCCTAGTCAGAATGCAATAGGTTCGCGGCCAGCCAAACCTCCTCCAACGGGTCTCGCTCCTTCTGCACCTTCCGTCGCGCCTCCGCTTCTTCCTAATCATCCGAATTCACCCACTCCAAATCGAACACTTCCACCTCATTCCACTAACACCGTCGTTAATGGGACTTATACGCACAGTCAGAAAGGAAAGAAAAAGAACGATACACCCGTCGATCCTGCTGCCATGTACGAGTCTTTGAAGAGCAGGATCGCAGCTCTGGAAGAAGAAGAGGTGCTCGAGGAAGAGGAGGAGAAGATATTTGGTGCGTGTTCTCAGCCTCTCGTTTTCATACACCACTCATGCATTCATCAGCTGAGGAGGCTGTAAAGTCGGTGAAAGGCATGGAGGAGAATGCAGTTCATGCCAAGTACATTGAGCTCGTGCGTTGTCATTCGCATGTCCGATATATACACTTCTGAATCACGGAACTGCAGTTCGCAGAACTAAAGCGGTTGGAACGCGACCATGCAAAGGAAAAACAGAAATTGGTCAAGGACAAGGATGCTGGTACGTACGATTGACCCACTCCGTTCTAACATGCTCATACTCCACTGTATTCATCAAGCAAAAGGTCAATTGACGAAGGCTAACCAGACTAAAGTCAAAATGGAGAATCTGGCGCGCGAGCTCCAAAAGGTCAGCGGATTCATGTCATGTTTCTATTTTCCTAATCGACTTTCGTACAGGACAACAAGAGACTACGGGTACGCATTACTGCGCAACGAGGTTCATCCACTATGCTTACACCGGCCTAGGAGGACAGTAAACGTCTAGCACAATGCATAGAAGAGGCACAGGAAGAGGTACGGGACACTTCTTCCGCTAG